AGTAAGCTTATTGTGGCTTATCATATGAATTCTTTGATTCATTCAAGTCTACTTTGAATGTTAAATGTTGCTAACACATTTAGTGTTTCAATTAAGCAATTTTAATATTCCATCGTTTGATAACCTGTCAAAAAAAGCAATGTCATCGATTCGACGAAGGATTGTTAGCCGGAAAGAAGGAGATGAGAATCGGAGAGAAGAGAGAATAGAAGAAATAGTTGAAGGTAAGTGGGAAATATGATAGATTATTATCATACTAAAAAAATTGTTTCAATAATCGATATGCTATTCTGATTCAGATTATGAAATATCGAGATAATACAAAGAGTCTTTCAGGCATTTGCATCATATAATTCAATTTTATGCCCTAATGTTTATGAGCAAATTTTACAAAACAACAATTTTAGGTTTGCGAATTTTTTGACATAAGGGGAAGGGCACATCATCGATAGGTTGTGCAAACAAAAAAATCAAAATAAAGAGTTGAGAGGGACTGTTTCGATTGTCTCTAGCAAATTCTATTGCCAGCTGCTTTTATGGTGCTCCCCTTGGTCCTTGTGGTCCTCTGTCTCCTTTCTCACCTTCTGGTCCTTGTCGTCCTTGGTTTCCACGCTCTCCTTTTGGTCCGTTCGGTCCAGCCGGTCCGGTCCGTCCCGGTCGCCCGCGAGGTCCTGGTGGTCCTACTGGTCCTCGGTCTCCTTTTTCCCCATTCGGCCCATTTTGTCCTGGTGGTCCTGGTGGTCCTTGTGAGAAACAAGCCTGAAAGAGAAATTTCCAAACCTTGACATTTAAACTTTCTCACTTAAAAATAGTCTACTGATGAAACTTACTTGAATTGTGAAAACGGCGCAAATGACCAATAAAAAAGCACTGAAAGGATGCATTGGTATTGAAAATATGAAATTGGTTTTGTGCACAGTGGCTGAAAATTTAAATCTCCTTTAAAGCCTTAAATTTATTGAAATTTTATGAGCATGAAATTATAAAAAGGGTATTAGGGTCTTTTTAGAAGATCATTCAAAGTATTGAAGTCATTCACAGAGGAAACTTTCCCTTATTTGTAGCATACAATTTCTTAAAGCAAATCATAATTTAGAAATCAGAATTTAAAGATTCAATTTAAATGTTGTAATACTTTACAAAATTTAAGGACTAAACCGTCTTTAATTGTTTAGAATATAGAAATTCTACTCGAAAAATTATGATATTGCCAGATATATGCGAGAAGGTTTCAATATTTGAATTGGAATTTAAATGAAGCAAATTTCGATGAGTTTTTTATTTATATTTGATCTCTGACATGAATCTTTTCGGAATTCATAGAACAAAGGAACATTTCAAGAATTCTTTATTAAAGATCGTATCGAATACAGCATTAAACGATTATTGACGGTATCTGTGAATGTTAAATGACCTTTCATGATTGAAAGTGAACGGAAGGAAAATTCAGTCAGCTGATAGAAAATCAACGGTTGATAGAGCATTCCGGAAGATGGAAGGGAGAACAGGTTTGAACTTTCGAGGCGTCGGTTTTTTACGAATTACTTATTCTTCAAAAATTTCTGAAATTTCTTAAATCGTCCAATGTGATCTACTCTCTAAATTTATTAATTATACTTGATTTAGTAGTGCAACTTCTATAATTATTTTGAAGTTTGATTAGAGCAAATTCTATCGAACTTTAAATAATTTTATATTGATTTAATAATAGTTTTTCAGTGGTTGAGAAATCTTCTGTTTTAAAACTTTTTTAACTGTGCTGTTGAACTTTTGGAGCTGGTCGTAGTGGTTGTGCAAGTTTAAATGTTCAAAAGTTCAAGTATTTTTTGTTTTTAATTTCAGGGTACGGTCTTGGATCGAATTGATTATAACGTGGAACAGGCAGCGCTGAAAATCAACTCGGCTTTATCAAGTGTGCAGCGTGCTGAAAGGTATCAGCGAAGCGATAAAAAATGTACTGTATACTGGATTTGTCTGTAACAGTCATTATTTTACTTATACTTGTTACCGTGAAAACGTGATGTCTGGACATGGTAATTTTATCGTATCTCAGATTGTCTGTATTGGGTCTTTGGACTCTTGCCTCTTCGGATGAATTACTAGGTAAAAATATAGAAGAGAAGAGTTGTTGTTACTTATCACTACCTTTATAATAATTTTCTGCTTAGCAGTAAGTAGAAAATGTAGTATGCTTATTAATCGATTAAATTGGTTTACATGGTAGTTTTTACACTGTTGTGGAGATTAAATGAATTTGTATATATTAAATGAAAAGAAATATTAGTATATTATTCTCAGACCATTCAGTAAATGATAAAATCTCTTGAAATTGAGGTATTTCCATGTTAGACAATTGATGAAAGAAAGTTGAAAATTTGAATATTATTTTAATTAAAAGAAACTTAGTAGATGGGAATTTCGGTCATTTTATATTCTAAGTTCATGTTAGTGGCTTGGTTCCTTCTGGTTGGCTCGTGCCAAGTAGTCGATAGTCGACTACGTCTACTTGGTGCGTTACATTAAAATGTTTCATTGAAAGTGAAAAAATTAAAATGGTGCTTTATGTTAAACAATGATTTTCCTAAAAATTCAATTTTAAAAATTTCATTCATCAGGTGCTTCATTGTATATGGAATGTACACATCATTTACGATGTTCGGAAACAGATCGTATCCGTTGGTTCGAATTACGCGAGCATGTCCATAATCTGATAGAGTTAGGTAACGTGGCACGAGAAGATGGCTACATTATCGAGTTCGTTTTCAACAATTCTCGTTCATTTCTCATTTTAGTATGGCTTTTCCGGTGAAAAGTGATGAAAAGATCAGTAAAAGAAAATAAGTTGCAGGAAATTAAATTGAATGTAAAAGCAAAATTAATTAAAAAGTAATAAATTAAAATTACCTTTAATTTATTTAGAAAAAGTAAACTTCGTTATTCATTGCAATACCGTGATTATCTGTGCACTGAGTATCGAAGTAGCGGGTATTTACTTCAAAACGATAGCAGTTATCACTTGCAAGTTGCATGCATGTGGGTGGGCGGTGAAATGAATGCAACCTGTGGTTTGATACCATCAACCGAGAAACCGTTTGGATATCACGAACCGGAAGAATGGCGTCGAATGCTTTTTGTAAGTTCATGTCAATTGGACGAAAAAATTGCTAAATTATTTGCACAATTACTAGTCTACATCCATCTTTGAACATTTCTTTCTTGAATTTCTTTCCGAAATCATTTGTAAGTTTTCACGTATGTTTTCACTTTTTTTTCAGGCCAAAATAGAAACATAGAGAGTTTACAGTTACATTAAATTCGTAGACATAGAATTATCTTCCCTTTTCCTTCCAAAAAAAAAAAATATTCTTTCCTCCGAAACATATCCGCGTAAATGAGTGCAGAAACTCTCAGATTTTCTGAGGAAATATGCTAAGCCAAAAAAACAAGATAATGCTGCTGCTGCTTTTTGAATTTTCTTTGCTATGCTGATCTCATTATTTATTTATTTTTGTCGTAGCTTTTTGTCCGTTTATTTATTTATTTATTTGTATTTTGGCTTAGCATATTTCATCACGAACATCTTTCTTGCTAATCTTTTAAGCACTCACTTTTGTTAAAAAAACTGCACAAAGAAAAAAAAACAGAAACTTTCTGCTATCTTTGCCGCAATCGCAAAGTCGTTTTTGGCGACATGGCGATGCAACAGCACTCGAAATTTTCAGACACTTCAATTTTTAGCAAAAAAATTAAGGTGACAAAATTTTTGGCGAAATAATTGTAGAGCAGAACGAAAATCCTAACGTGTGCTCGTGAAGATTATTGTTTGTGAGCCTAATTCATTATTCCATGCTAGCGGAATTAATAATGCTAAATTCATTATGATAATGATGGAACTAATTGTCAAAGTTTTATCGATTTTTTTCCTTCTTATTATCTTCTTACTTGTAAATGTAGTACTAGTATTGAAAACTTTATTAGTTAACTACAAGCGATGTATTGTATTCTGCTAAATACCGCAAATTTAATATTGCGACACAAAGATAAAAACAGAAAAACTCTTGAATTTTCCCGCAGTTCTGGAAGTTACACGACAGTATAGTTTTATCGAAATTTGGGGGACTTCAAAATTTTGGATTTTATGGTAATTTTTTGTTATAAATTCCCACATCTTTTTTTCATATCTTCTCGAATTTCATCTGACCGGATCTACAAGAAACTTTTTTTTTTCTAGCTATCTCACAATTCATAGAGTCAAAATTTACCCTCACTACCATATCATGTTAACTGTCGTCGTTTATTCAAATTATAAAGACATGGCAACTAATTTTGAAGTCCCACATTTTTTCATACCTAAATTATTGTTGACCTTCAGAAGGGAGTAATTACATTCAATAAAGAGACACCATCATTTGTTTTTTTGCTTAGCAAGCGAGAAATGATCTATCTCAGTGTTCCTCACATGCAATTTAGAAAAAAGATGATATTCAAGAATTGT